ACGTCACACGGCGCACAGCTGGCGCGCCGGAGCCGCCGCCGCCGCGCGCGCCTCGCCGGTCTGCACATTCCAGAGGAGTGACGTCATAGCCGCGGCAGACGCACTGCCACCGCCGCGTACCCAGCTGTGCGCCTCCGTTGCGCAGTAGCCAAGCCTGACGCTACACCGGAGCCGCTTGATTGCGCCTCTCATTTTTTTATTGGGCTTGTGACTTTCAGAGTACTTTCATATTTTGCGCAGATCAAAAGACATTCAAGCTGTAATCAGGCGTTAAAATTATAATGACTTACGACAAAACACGCAAGATACAGTCGAAAATAAGGAATAAAACACGATTGTAAGGATTAATAGAATGATTAATAGAATAAAACAGCCATATCTCGTGTGAGCTAGATCTAAATGTCGCCTTATATTCTTAAAGACAGATTAAAACAAAATAATTGCTAGCCATATGACACACTTTGGATAAATTTATGTGAGCTATTTACGTTAGAACATTGCGGAAAAGAGACTCTTGGGTTCAGGCACAGTAAAAGTGCCGGTGTCCACTCCAAGTAAGTGAACACATAGGCTTCTTTATTTTTGATCAACTCCAAAGCAAGACCGCTCACGCTGGAGCGACTTTAGTTCCTATTATCCGCCATTTCATTGTAAACAAGAAAAAACGTCACCTTACTTTTTTCAAATTTATTCCAAATTCGACGGAGTTGAACTTTTTAAAATTCATTGCGTTGTTTTCTTAATTAAAAACTAAAATTGAGACTTATGGTGTCTCCCGCACGATCCCGGGAAAAGAGAAGTTCCAGTCGGGAACACAATACTTTAGGGCGAACATGATTTTCTTAGCAACGAAGATGAATCATGCTTAGAAAGCCCCGAAACGTAGTCTATTTTCTGAAATGGTCCACACCGAGTGACTCCGCGTGAAGAAAGAGCAACACACTGAAGATACCCTCGATACGTTCCAAGCGTAGGATGAGCTTTTTGTCATTGCGTCTTTTATAAATAACTGTAAAGCATGAAAAAAAAAAAAAAAAAAGACAACGAAATAAAAATAAAAATAAAAGTTTGTTATTACTGATTAGTCTTGTTATATCCCAAGAGCCGCAGGTGCCGTTGAACGAACGTTCGAAATCTCCTCGAAAGCACGACTAAACCACCTTGCCGGCAGCCTTTAAATCTTGAGGTCGGCAACCGGTGGCAAGCAAACGCGTTATTCATCACTCGCAACCCTTCAGGCGTGACAGACTCAACGCCGTGTTTTCATGTCACCGTCTTCAAGAAGAGTTAAATGAATCATTCCACATGATTTTCTCGCGTGTTTAGCCCATGGTGCGATGTTTGAGCCCCTGACAAGAGCCTCGAGTGAGAAGTGGTCTCTTGTCTTTCATCCTGCATGAGAGCTGAGAAACTGCTCAAGCTCCTCCCACAGAGGCCCTTCACTCTTCTGGCTGGGAAAGGGCGGGGGGGGGGGGGGGGGCGGTGGTAAGCGGCTTCCCCCCCCCCCCCTCCCCCCCTCCTTTTGGACTGGGTGATAGGCGCTAGAGAGGCGTATCGACGATCGTTAGACTCCCATGCCAACCAATAAAGCAGCAAAACGAAACAAAACACGGTGGTTAAAAAAAAAAGTGTCTCGCGGTTGTAGCAACTTTTCCAACGCTTATCACCCAAGCGAAAAATGCCGAATCTCTGGGCTCTGGAGGCATGTAAGGCGTCTGATATTTCCAAAAGAGAGCTACTGCGAATGCCCAGAACTCCTTCCACGGCACTGCTGACAAGGATGGCAGCGCGCAGTGCATGGGTAATAGACCGATCTCACCAGCCAGTTTAAGTACGACACCGCTGCCGCAATGCATCGAGGGAATTTTACTCTTTCAGCCCGTGCAGCGACCTCGCTGGAGCTCTGCGTGTGTAGAACTTGAGACATCGCGAGCCCTCTCGTGCACCGCCACCTGCCTCCTGTGAACTAAAGTTATGGCGGCGTCACGCATGCGCCTAACGCTTAGTGAGAGCGGTCTATTATAGATATGGTCTATATTTACATGCTCAAAAGTCGACACGCCGCTGACAAAGGACAATAAATGGGGCTAAATATTCCCGCAGTTCTGTGGGCTCAAAGCCGGCTCCGGACAAGAACGCGACGTAACGGCACTTTCTGGTCGTCCTTCGGGGGCTTGAGGATTCCGCAGTCCCCCCTGGCGGCAGAGCCCGTCGCAACGCCGCGCATCTCATCGGCACTCGATTGGAGCTCAGCGATCCGCGGCCCCAACAGCTTTCCCCATCGTGTCCCCATTCTTCACACAGCTTCCCTCAACAGAAGGGTTCCCCAATTTTGGGGGACAGGCCTCGTCCTCGTGAAGCCGCGCCGGCGCTTGAGTCAACGTCAAAATCTGCTCCGACCCCCTCCCCCCTTCCCCAAATTCGAATCCCCGTGGGTTCCCCAGCGCTATGCCATTGTTCTCAATGCCCCAACACGTGCCCAAGCGGCGCGTGCCTCTTCTCCCCAAAGTCCCGCCGAAAGTACCCGGCCCAAAGTTTTCCCACACAACGCCGCCACCGCTGAGCAATCTCGCGCGAACTTTTTTTCCCCGAGAAATAAAGAAAAAAAAGGACCGTTAGCCACGCGGAAGGGAGAGGAGGTGAATGTTTTTTTTTTACTTGCTTTCCCTCTTTCACCTGGTGGCGCAGGTGGCCAATGGGAGGGAAGGCTCGTCTCCCTCTTTCCACTGCAGCAGTAGAGAAAAGGATGGTGGGGCGTGTTCGATGGTTTGATCTTGCTTCGCGATTCTGCGACAGACGGCTCTGCGGTCTTTAGCGTGTATCGCGGCCGAAAAAGTGGAGTGTGACTGGGGGTTCTTGTGGAGCAATGGAACGGGATAATTTTACCTGAAATAGCTTAGTCGAGTATTTTTACCCAAAAGTAATTTTATGAGGAGGAATGCGAGTAAAAGCACGGCCTTCATAAGGACGTTTCATTTTTAGGAACGTGACATCAGGTTCGACACCCCGGAAATCGCATGGATCGTTCCACTGCGTGTTCAAAGTTTCATCGCATCAACGAGTTTTTGATCATTCGGCGGCAATACGTATTACGTTTCATATCCACCATCGTTTTTTTTTATAAGAAAAAAAAAAAGTGCTCACTTTTTATTTGGCAGATATACGGGGTTCTATTTCATTCTGGCAGGTGACTGAGCCCGAGGAAAAGGCATTGGGGATAAGCGGGAGATGCTCAGAGCAGTCGGTAATCAATCGGCCGTTTTCGTCAAAAAAAAAAAAAAAAAAAAAAAAATGTCGAGTTTTGGTTACGATATTTTTTCCAGGACGTTGGGCTTTTACAAGTCACGCGTCTGTACAAATTTCACCTTTTTAAATGCACAATTAATTGTGCTATTCTGCACGTTGCAGAAACATAATTCGACGCAATAGGCAAAGTCTATATTGGATAGGGCCCATGGCAGGCGCACTTTAACACTGTTCATTATTCGATTAATTTAGGTCTTCATTTTGTTTTCGTTGTCCTAAAAAAAAAACAAAAAAACAACGAAAATGCAGATGTCGAGTTTCGTTTATTGCTTCAGACACATACGTCTTAAGTTTGGAGAAGAAAAAACAAACGAACACACACAAAAAAAAACAAAAAAACAAAAAACAAGCAAGATTTGGCGCAACAAGAGACACAGTTCGGGGGGGGGGGGGGGGGGGGGTTGTTTTTTGCTTGAGAGCAAGTTGGTACGCCACTGTGTTCTGAATTCATCGGATTAGATAACAATTTATAATTAGTTAAAAGTATTGTTTTACATTTTTTCTCGTCTCTCCCTCTGGGTATTTAGGTCGATAATATGAATAGTTTTTTTCAGGTAATTACATTACAGTAAGCATTCTTTTTCGAGACTACCCGAATTACTTTTTCCTCTATATAGCCAAGTTTTCTTCTCATGCACAATGGCCTTGGGAGGCGTGGCCATGCGGCAATACAGCGCCGGGAGGACAGGTGGTTGGCTAGCTCGCATTGGGTCGCAGGAGCCGCAACTTTTGTCGTCTGCGAAGTTACGTGGTGGAACGGAGCATACGGTAAACGACATGGTTTTCATAAAGACCTACGTTTCGCCGATTTCGCGATTTCAAAAGAATCACGAAAAACTAGTACCGCGAATAATTTAACTCGAGGTAACGACAACACCACGAATCATGAAAATTTGCGCCGACGAAATAAATCCGAAACTGGTTGATTTCCGAGGCGCACGTGCAGCACAGCAATCTCAACCAGCACGTAGAATTTTGTTTAATCACAATCTATAGCTCGCAAATAAATAAATAAAAAAGTCTGCGTAGCTATCCTAACCCTTCTCTCCCCCCCCCCTCCCCCCCCCCCCCCCCCCCCCCCCCAGGCCAATTACAGACGCACACTCACACACGAAAATCCGTTGTGCGCCAACGAGAAGACGCTGCCTATGCTAATACAAGACTGCTCCGAAAAAAAAAAAAAAAAAAACACACACACACACACACAAAAAAAAAGAAAAAATCTTTCAAGTTTTTCCGCGCATTCATGGCGACGTTCCCTTTCACGTCAACCGCCTCAAACACGTTGGTTGCATCGAACGAACCGGCACTACAACTTCTAGGGCACTGTACCGGCACGTGCCTTGGCCTGGCAAAGCCCGAAAGGCGCATTCCCCCCGCTCGTGCGGATATCGTTGAAGTTCGAAGCGCCCCTAGCGCATTTCCTCCGCGAACGCAGATGGCGTCCGGATATTCCTCACTGAACCCCCTCGTGGCGCTTTAGCCGGCGAGGCGGTCGCAGCGGTCCCTGGGGGACGCTTGGCGCCGCCGTTTTTCGAAAACGCGCCCCAGCTCGCGCGCGGCTGTGGTCCCCCAGATCGGCGACGTCGCGTCTGGCCGCAACGTCGGTCGCGGTCCCCGGCTAGGCCCGTCTTCGTCGCCGGCTCGGTCTTACGAAGGGTCGGCCAAGCGACCGACTCAAGCTTCCAAAGACCATGCCGCGCGGCTTTCTCCTCCAGCGCTACACCAGGCACAACTCGGACGGCGAAGACAACAGGTCCGACTCGTCATCTTCAGACCACGATGATCTGCCACAGTCCCCACGCTCCAAGGCGTCCACGGGGTCCGAGTCTCTCTTGTTCACCGCGACCGCCTTACTGCAGCCTACCGTTTCCTCACCGCCGCCTTCGAACCAGACGAACTCGAAAACAGCGCCGAACCTTCAGCCACCGCCCCTGGTACACCACGCTAGTCCTCCGCGTAAACCGGCCGGCTCAAAGACAGCCACGACTCCGACGTCGGCGGGCAAGTCTGCCGTGAGGCGACTCCTGTTCGACGACGACAACCTGTCTCCCGTCTCGGGAACTTTCATCCGACCGTTCGACGACGACGAAGACCTGGACCTCGACGAAGAACTGGACTACGACATCCCGGCGGCCCTGAACCCGGTCATCGCCAGCGACGAGGCCCGAGCCGAGCTGGCCAAGATCGAGAACAAGATCGGCGCGTACGTGTGCCGCCTGTGCAAGCAGCGTTTCGTGGACGCCTTCGGGCTCGCCCAGCATCGGTGCTCCAGGATTGTGCACCTCGAGTACCGGTGCCCTGACTGCGCCAAGCTGTTCAACTGCCCGGCGAACCTGGCGTCGCACCGTCGCTGGCACCGTCCCAGGGCCGGGGGCGAGCCCCCCGGTGCGCCGCCAGGGTCCGACGAGGACGCCGGGCCCTATGCGTGTCCTGGCTGTCCCAAGAGGTTCAGGAGGATGGCGTACCTGCGCAAGCACGCGGTCGTGCACGCGCAAGGATCACCCTGATGGCATGCGGTCCTCCAGTAAGTCCTTTGCTTATGTCTATGTTTGAGCAGTGTGCACTGCTCATACCATCATACAAAAGACAGTCTGCAAACACGAGTCACCGCAACACCCGTGGTTCGAATTCCGTGTGCCGTGTGTATCCTTGAACTCGTTGCCATGTGGCATTTGAAGCACGAATCTCGCAGTGACTCCCGTTTGAATATGTATGCAGGCTGTCTTTTGTCTGACGTATAAGCAGTTTGGCCCCTGCTTAGAGGTAATTTGATATGGCCGAGGTTGACCAATAGCGTACCTCCGATGTTTTAAGATTGTATGGTTGGCGTGGAGTGCTAGTCCTAGGTCCTACGGTAAGAACTTTCAAAATGAACAGCACATAATATGCGTGCAAGAACAAATCACGGCATCTGGCACACCTTCCTATTAAAGAGAACCTGCTACCGACGCATCAAAGTTAAACTCGAGCTTTGGAATGTGTCCTTTCGAAAACTGATGTCCAAAGTTGGAAGTCTGCGAATACGCACTGGGTTTTTTGCGTACGTATTCATTCCGCATTTTGTGTCATCAGTGGATTCATGTCAGGCGTCTACTGGATAACATAGATAAATGATATTGCAATGACTTATTTTTGCTTTTCATTTAGAAACATCAAAGGGCAAACCTTGAAAAAAAAAAGCTAATTGAAATAGTCTGCCTCTTATACTCTGTTTCACCTTATGATGTACCGCAGGAAAGGCTACAAGCGCGAGCTCCTTGCTCTGGGGCACATCCCGGCGGCACAAGCTCTCGTGACTTTAGAGCAGCTGCCAACGATATGAGCTCGCGCATCTATCCTTCGCTGTGGTACAACATAAGGTGAAACGAAGTGTACTTCCCCACATCTCATTTTAACTAGCTCTCGCGCAATAGACCTATTGCTAAATTTCCCAAGTATCAAGGAGAATGCTGGGAATGTAAGTATTCTCGCCGCACACGCTCGCCTTCCGGTATGAAATATTCGAAGTAATTAACCAGAATAAGATGTTGACAAACGCGCGTGCGGGATGCCATTTGTTTTAGGTTCCCGCTTTAGAACAGTAACGGCTGCAGACGCCAGCACGTGCAGCGCAGGTAACTACACTCGCAGCATGCTCCTTGGGGCTTGGGTAAGTTAAGCTCAAGGTCTATTGCGGAACGTGCAACTTTCTAAATCAAGTGTATTTTACATCGCAAGCCCCAAGAAATCATTCCTTGCGTAGAGTGCGTGTTATCAAAGACGCACGTGGCCGGAACCACCGTATTTTTATTTTCGTTATCCCCGACGAAAGTAAACATGCTGAGGGGACGCTGAGGTCGTTGACACTGCGTGAACGCCAGGTGTTCCAAGAGTCGCCGCTGTAGACCTTGTGATGCTACCGGCCTGATGGCTCGCGAGTATACTCCTTGCTACGTTCTCTGAAGGTCACTGACACTATAGTCGGTGACAGGTTCAGAGCAAAATGGAAGCTCCTTCCACCCCTCTCCGCTTTAGCAGAGCGGACACTGTAGAGGAGGTCGCTTCCTTTCCAGCGTTCGCTCTGCTAAAGTGGAAAGGGGTGGGAGGAGCTTCAACTTTGCTCTGAACCTGTCACCGACTATATGCTTGGCACTAGCGTTCTTGTGCGACGTCGTTGTCAGGACTAGTGTAGTTTCAACAGTGCTGTAGTCGCGCACTGCTGCACAAGCACGTGGTCTCGTACAAAGGAAACGCGAAGCAAAGTCCAACGCTCGCGCAAGTGACTTTGAGAGCGTTAGAGCAATGCAGAAGCTGCGCCACTTGCCTCGAGACTAAGATTGAATTTAGGGGAAGCGTGCTCTTATTTATGTATGGTTCTCTATGAGGCACGTATTGATTCCTTCTGTCCGATATGCGGGCGGAGACAAAGCTTCCACGCCAGAGCCGTATATGTGGAGAGTTTGGTCATTCGTTGGGAAGTATAGGAGACAAATGAAGAGGCGCCAATGGCCGAAAGCGGGCTGGGCGTGTTTCGGGGCCTCTTCAAAATTCGAATGTGGCCAACCAGAAGCCGGAAATAATAACCTGGCGGTGGTCGCGAGAAACGAAATCAATAAGTGCGTCGGAGTAACTCACGGTGACTTAAAATATGGTGCACGTGATGTTTCGATCGCGGTCATCCAGGATCGTGGTTGAAAAGCGCAACTAGAGGAATGATCGACAGAATTCGTACGCCAGGCACCGAGGGCCGGGAATCTGCCATCCGAGCGCTCACACTCTGTCCGAGCAAAACAGAGTTCGAGCGGCCACATTCGTTTTTTACATCTTTCTGCATGATCATAATCGAAACATCACGTGCACCCTATTTTCAACCGGGAAGGGTTACTACATATAACTCTTAGGGGCTTATTAAAGCCATATATCTATGATTATAACTGTTTCTCGCTACCACCGCTAGGGGTTTTTTTTTGGGCTTCTAGTTGGCCAAGAGAGCATGTTAAGCCCTTTTCTGCGTCTGGTGCACGCCCTGGCTCTGCCCGCGCCTCCCATTGACCAGACTCTCTCTATACACGGCTCTGATTCACACTAACGGCACGGAGTAGTTGCAAGGTTAGAGAGCACGAGCTCTTAGCAGTTGATTCCGGTGCGCGAAAGATCCGCTGACGCCTCACAGGACTTCGACCTCGCGTTCGTAGCATTGGTTTTGCTGCAAGTAAGTGTAAAACAAAGCGTAGTTCTACTTTTCGCTACATGAGCCATGCCGATCGAATCTCTAGGCAAATAACTGACAGCAATTGAACGACAGGGAGATTCGTTTGTTCTACTGCCTCCAACACGAACTTGCTACCTTCAGTAACAGTTTGGCGTCTCTTGAGCTTCGAGTATGCACGCGCAGCCAAAGCATGGTGGAAGGCAACGAAGCCGCGTCAGTGGCTCCGAGGCAAAGCGCCGACCTTAGGATCTCCAGGTGGCGGGTTTGAGTCCCGACCGAGGAGCGCGCATCCTGACGGAGGCTTATTGCGGAGAAGGCGCCGCGTAACCACGGTGGCATGTGAAAATATCCCCAGGGGGTCGAAATTAATTTTGAGGCCTCCAATGGGGCGTGCCAGATGCCCTTCGTAGGATTGGCACGTGACACACCCAAATTTCACTTGGTTTGGAAGACAACGAGAGCGCTCTGGGGGCCGAGCACCTGTAGGAGACGACGTGCCGTCTTCATGCTGACACCATGGGAAACAACGGTAGGCGCAGAGTCTGGATCGCTGCGTGTTTCATCGCTCATATTTCGGCCTGTTTCTACGCGTTTTTTTTGGAGAGCCATAGTTATAAAATTATCAAACAAGAAGATACAAGAGCCCGCAGAACTCATTGAGTGGGACTGTTATGCACGCACGCTCGGGAGGTGAAGGCCTCCTTGGAAATAACATGCTCGTGCTCGTAGAATAGAATTCCCCAAACTTGCCCTTACAGAAACCCTAAAAAGGAGAATAATTAGGATTGCATATATTGATTCTCGCTACCTCCTACGCAGTTGTAAAGCACACGTACAGATCTCGACTCGTTCAACTCGATTTGTAAAACAATTATTGAGAGTCAAGCGTTAGAAAATGGAAATTCAAAGGCCTTGGCTAGGGTGACTTCATGTGCACTTTGCTTAGGGTGATGAAATTCTTTGTAGTGCCCAAGGTTGACAGCACGCGCTGTCGAGAAAAATGCAAAGAAATAGCCGGTGGCAAAATTCCGCCTCAGTATTGTCAATACCAAGAGCTCGTGCCGAGGGGTTTGCTCGCGCTCAGAAATAAAAAAAAAAAGAAACAAAAGCGTTGTAAAAAAAAATGGTCAGATGCTATCACCCTAAGCAAAGGCACACGAAGGCACCCTAGAATCGGCGCGTTTTAAAATAAATATCTGTCTATCAAAATCTCAACAAAATTTTCTATCTCCCTCAATCCGCAGTATCGTGAATGAAAAGTGCTTGTAGACCATATTTTTCTCTCCGCTACGCCCTCCGCAACAAAAGCGCCGCTACTGCGCATGCGCGCCGTTAGCCTCGAGGCTGCAGAGTTCCCGATCTCCCATCGGGCAGGAGATCCGGAACTCTCCCGTCTCAGGGCGCTCCATTCAATAACACGAACTGCGTGCCCCGCGTCCCCAAGTTGCTTGTTTCCCCACTACGCACGGTTGCTGAGCGGAGAAAGTGGATCTACAGAGCACTTTAGCGGGACCATTACATTTCGGAATTCTGTCGGTACGATAGAACGCATGAATGCAATAGACCCTTTTCCAAATTCAGTGCCATCTTGTGTCCTCAAAAAGCAGTCACACTTTCGACAAAGTAGTGGCGGTCATGATACTTTCACACGTCAGTGGCAGATGAGAGTTGGTGCTTAGATCACCTCATAATTCTTTCTTCATTTGTCTGATTTTCGATGGTGTAAACAAAGGAAGTGACCAGTACAAAGCGGTGACACGGTGACACATAAGCCCGTTGATTAAACTTCGGCCAACAAAAGGCTTTAGAGCCAAACTTGCGCCAAGAGCTTGCGCCAAGACCACACTCCGAAATAAACGTAAGCGCAGCCGTTGTATTTAATTCGTGCGTCGTGTTGTAACTAAAACCCCGAACGTACATGCCTCATATATCCTACGGTTGGTAGTTTGTTCAACTTCTTCCTGAAGGCCGCTATTCGTTTGACGCACGTGCCATGCACTCCGGTGATAATAGTGATCAAAGTTGCCAAACTAAATTTTGAAAAGGGTCTATAGACCCAGTTATGATGGTTCCGCGTCTGAGTGCCATTTGAACAGGAATACTTTTGAGCATACTAAAATAAGTTGCTGACTGGCTGAAAAAAAGAAGTGTGGTAACGCTAGGCTTGTGGCCGCAATACGCGAAGCGACTATATCAGCGATAGGTAGTATTATGACAGAACAAGAAGTGTTGCTCCGTTTTGTTTTATTATTTACGCAGTTCCGAGGCGAGGGTAGTTTCTAGTGGCGAACGAGCATGACGCCCATTGTAGGACTGATAAGAGAAGGACAAAC